CATAAGTTCACCACAAGCATTGAATTTAATTGAATATATTCTAAATTTTAGTAAGTGCAGTATTTTAATCAAGAATATTAAGGATGTTTTGCACCTATTTTCAAAATATTGAGAATTTAATGAAAATTCTAAGAATGTCCTTACATATGTTTAGAATCTTCAGTATAATTTTTAAATCGTTTCACTAAATCGTTCACAAGTTATAAGGATTTTAATTTACATCGAGTTAACATGTGTTTTTATGGGAAACGTATAATCACGTCGATTCAAATGAAAAAAATACATGGAAATAATATTCAGAATTTGTTTAAAATTTGCAAAAGTTTAGAGACAGAAGAAATATTTGGTAAAATAATATTATACAAGTACTAACTTAAAAAAATATTAAATATAATTCAATGAAGTTAGTCATGTATCTGTCACAAGGCGAAATTCTTTGCCGAAAGTTAATGATTTTGATTAACAAAATTCGAAATACTTCATTAAGGATGTTTTGTACCTATTTTCAAAATATTGAGAATTTAATGAAAATTGTAGAATGTCCTTACATATGTTTAGATCTTCAGTACAATTTTTAAATCGTTTACAAGTTATAAGGATTTTAATTTGCACCGAATTAACATGTGTTCTTAAGGAAAACGTATAACTACGTCGATTCAAATGACAAAAACACATGGAAATAATATTCAGAATTTTTTTAAAATTTGCAAAAGTTTAGAGACAGAAGAAATATTTGGTAAAATAATATTATACAAGTATTAACTGGTTAAAAAAATATTAAACATAATTCAATGAAGTTAGCCATGTATCTGTCACAACGCGAAATTCTCTGCCAAAAGTTAATTATTTCGATTAACAAAATTCGGAATATTTCAGTAAAAACCCAATAAATATTAAAAAAATACATCTTTGAACTGTAGCTGAGATCAAATTGTAATATTCCACACAATTTCTTACTCAAAATACACCAAAAGTAGATATTCATCAATATTGATTTTCAGCTACTTTTTGTTGGGATTGTACATACAAAACATCCTTAAAAAGTAATCAAATTCTAAATGATTAGTACGAGACATGAAATATTCGTACATTTAATAAACTATTTTTTATATTAATTAAAAATCATTACTGTATACAAGAGAGAGGGAGAGGAGGAGGAGAAGAGGATACTGATATTATAATGATGAAATATTATTTAAAATTGTTAATAAATGTTTTATACTCACTACGAGAGAAGAAATGTAATTAAGGTATTGATACAAGTCCTCGATGACAGCGTCTATAATAATTATTTATCCGCAATACGTCGTGATCAATCAGGCGTGAAATTTTGATAAGTGCGCATGGTATGATGCATTGTCTGTCCGGCCCATTTAAGTGATCTATCCATGTACCTTATTAAGCGAGAACACCTACCGTGTCTCAGTAATATTCGCACCGAGTGTGCCCATTGTTTATCAAATGTATTTTACAATAACGTGTTTTCCCATGATAGTAATTTATCATTATCATTTCATGAGAATCTTCCGAACACTCTTTGATTAAAAAGAATTTTTAATGTTATTAAGTTCATAAATCATATAAAAGCATATATAATTTTATGTGTATGTGTGTGTTTCGTGGAAAAATGCATTTGATTAAAATAATGCAATTTGATCGCTAAAATCGAAATTTTCTCGAATGTAATAAAATTATGAAAATTTTAGACTGATATTTATACATTTATTTACTTTCAAATTTAAAAATATACATAAATGCTTAAATTTTTATCTTCTGAAATTTTCGAATATAGTATACTAAATTTTTATAGATTTTTACGGAAAAAAAGAATTGTCTAAAAAAATAATTGCTTGCACATTATTTATTAAATAATCGATTCAATAAACCTCTTAGTAAATAAATATTTTCAAGCTTATAAGCGGAAATCGTGCTCATCATTATAAGGTTCAATTGATCTTTAAAGAGAGAATGCATCAGACGATTAAAGCACATTCCTGATTCCCTTTAACTTTCAAATTCTCGCTTTTACCGACACAAAAGCACTCCTATATTGAACTGAGCTTCCTGCTTGACAGCTTCATTTCATCCTAAGTGATTTCACCATGTCGTCATCCCCTGTATTGCGGACATTAATCAAGAGATTGCTCGAGTGTTTCAGCAAGTATGTTGAAAGCATCCTACTGTAACTTGTATTTACGTAACAGATACGATCGCATTAAGTTACCTTCATCTGATAAGTGATTCATTCATATGGAACTTTCAATTTCAGATTAGTCATGGCCCACTAATCTGTTCGTATCATTGCTTTCTTCATAATTCATATCAATAATATAACGTATTAATATGGAAAAAATATGTAAAAGAAAAAATTTCTTGAATTAATTAAGACTGGACATTTCAAATAAAAGAAAAAGTGCGTTACATACGGATTCAAAGAATTCCATCCATTCAAATGGAGAATAGAAAACTCGACGGAATTTTTTTTATTGCAAACTTATTAAAACTACGAAGAATTGTCGGAAGCTTTTCTTTTAATATTCATTAAAATTCCTGGGGGGGTATTGACTGTTTCTGACAGATATTATATAGTCAATCTCAGACTCTCGAATTTATATATGTAATAAGAAGAATTTAACGGACAGTTTTATATTTTGAAATAATTATTTCACATTGAATTTTCTAATATTTAATATAATTTTAAACATGAAAATAATTCAAAAGTTATTATATTAAAAAATTTCACGTATGATTTCACACATGAAATTTGACGATGGGATAGATACGATTGTTTTATATAAAAATAAAAGAGTTAATATGTTTATGTTAAGATGCGGATATGTATTTTCTACTTTTTAGTACAAAACGAGATTTAAGAAACTAATAAATTTAATTAAAATATAGTAAAAAGTGAATTGAATTAGCTAACAATACACATACATCAAATGACTTGAAAAGATATTAAAATAGAAAATATTCTGAGTAAATTCGAAGAATTTGAGATTTCTGAAATTTGGAAACCTCTCAATTTAAAAAAAATTCTAGTTTTTTTTAACTTTTTTTATTGCTTTAAATGTATTAAATTTTTAAATCATTAAATCTCACACACACACATGAATTGTAAGATTCTTAGGACAAGTCATGATTTTGCTATTACCATTCTAGCGTCATATGTATAATATCATCATAGCCACTCTCATATCATGTAACTCAGAAGAGCAAATAATATATAGACGTGACAAAAACGGCCGGAGAAGACACGAGAGAGATATCGAGCGAGTGGTATCATAAAATTTGCATAGCGACCGACTTGAGAATTGCTGTTGGCGATTGTACTGAACTTTAACAACGAGCTCGCACGCTATTCTTTCGTTTGTGAGACTCTATATTCGCGAACGTGTAGATCTTGCGCGAGTGCCGAGAGAAAAGCCGGACCGATGCACGTATTTCCGAGATGCGTTTTACGCATCTAGTCACGAACAATCCGTTTTCGATTTCCTCGCTTGAAAACGCGCACACGAGCGAATATCCGGTTCAGTAACAGAAAGAAAGAGAGAGAAGGGGGAAGGGGAAGAGGGAAGGGGGGGAGAGAGAGAGAGAATTTCAGGTAATTTCAGGTGCTGACTTTTTGTAGTCTTTTCGTTTTCGATAAAAATTCGATGCATAAGTATAGTTGCAGTGAATCTTGTTTTTGTGTTTTTTTTGCTTATGTTTGTATGAACAAGCATATTGGCACGTTACGCTGTTAACTATCTTTTCTCGATATTTTTGACATGTATTTTACATTTATATTGCCTTTTGAATCAAAAAAATATTAAATCCTGCACTTACATTATTTTTTCGATATTTTTGAGAAAAGGAACAATAGTACTAGATTACTAAACAGTTAGAATTGAAAAATTTGTGAAAATACAGAGATACTTTTTGTAATTGAACATATTGAGAGTTTGAATAATATACAGTATAAAAAAAAATACGGTATAAAATTATATTTTTTGTTTAATAGAAAATTTTGCAAAACCAAGCTCAAAAAATCTTTTGAGAAAAATAAATAGTATTTCTAAGCAAATTTTCTTTTCTGCATTCTCGTAATATTTTATGGCATTAAGTCATATATTGGATATATCGAGATGATGTAGAATTTATACCATTTTAATTAGACATATTAAGACAATAAAATAGAATTTTTTTTATAGCAGGTCATGAATTATGAAAAATAAGTTATATAAGAGATTAAATGAGATAATCTTTCAAATTTTATAGTTTTACAGTTTTATGATCATGTTTCATTGTTGTCATCAAATTGTGTCTTTTTATAAATTGTGATATTGATATTGACTATCCAACACGCACATTTATTTAGCAATATAAATAAATGTGCTGTTTTTTTGTAAGAATGTACAGAATTTTTATAAGAAGGTACAAAGATAGTGGTTATGTAAATTAAGATTTACATTATTCTGTTGTAAATTACCTTTGTGTATGAATTATTTTTTTTAAAGCTTTCATGAATATAAATATAATTATATTTTTTCGCTAAAAGAGACATAATATTATATTTTTTATTTATATTGAAATCTTTACAAACTTTTCTTTCTCTATTTTGTATTTTTGAGAAAAATTATTTAGATCATTTTATGTATGTCTAAATGTATATATATTTAAGATATAAATGCCATCTATAAATCAAAATTGTTATTTATTTTATGATATTAAAGCTTTTTTAACTATATTTATAGCTTATATTATTGTTTAATATATTCGAGTCCAAATTATATGCAGAATATTTAATATATATATTTGCATACTGATTTATAAATACTATATATTTACTAGTAATTATTGTTTACTAATAAATAATATGTTTCTGTTATTTTATTTTTTTATTATGCAAATATTTTTTTTTATTTGAAATATATATATTTTTGTAATTAATGCTTGCGCACAAGTATTTCAAGAAAATTTGAATATAGCTAACCGATTGTTTTATATCTGTATTAAAGCACCGACTCTGACGATCAGCGATGATTCCGGGCGTATAGTTTCCAAGGAGAGGCATTTGAAAGCGGGCAGTGTTCTCAGACTCAGATGTGAGGCGAGGGATGTGCTAGAATCGTTGAACGAGTCTGTCGTTTGGACCAGAGGAGACGAAACGCTTAGCGAGGACATTAGGTAAGAATGGAGAATTATTGTTTGTCTTATATTGTAAAGTTCCACTTATTTATGATTCGGACGCGATAGCTGCAAGCTCTTTTGATAAATCGTTTTTCAAAAACCATTCGGTAGTGGATTTATTGTAATATATCTCTCTACAGACAATCTCTATTTGCAAATTCGATTTCTCTTTATTATTACATCATTTTTTCACACAATTTGTATATAATTTAATGTATGTATTCGTACACTGAGGGAAAAATTTTTTTAAATCAAATAAATTTGTTCTCTTAAAACTTTTGCTTTAAATACAAGGAATTGTTTATTTCATTTAAGCAAAAGTATTTAATAGTAATTAAATATGCATGTTATATTAAGTACTATTTTAAGTTATATTAAGTATTATTTTCATTTATATATTTTTTATATTTAAATACTATTTTCGTAAAATATATACTATAATTTATTAAATTAAATATATTACTTTTTAAAATTAAAAAATTTAAAATTTTTGGGAATAAAAAATGCATTTTAATAAATATTTTGTAAAATTAAAATAAAAATATTTAATTAAAAATTATATTTTTTTAAACATATGTAAATAAATACTTAACTTAAGCAAACAGACGTTTTGAATACAAGTAAATACGTGATTAGTACCCACCGAATAAATAGCTTTCTTGAGTTATCTAAAATTTTTTTTATTTCAAGATAATTTTTTCCTCAGTGTATAATATATTTAAATGCATAAAGATGTAATGATAAATAAGACGTAAATCTTTTTGCCAGAATCGTTTAAAGAACTAAAATGTTCTGCAGATATAGGAGTCTCTCGGGGCTAAATTCAATATCTTTTATAACTTTAAATCCGGATGTCTAGATGATTTAAGATAGATAATTATTAAAAGAAAAATTAACGATATCGCATCGCGATATTTCTTAATGGATTATGAAGCCCTAAGAAAGAAAGGGAAAAGAACCATGCTCTACAGCTTTTTTGAACGATTCCACGGCAGTTCTAGCGTGAAGCAGATTCTTAATTAAATTATTGCGACAAAGCTGGAATACGTAAGTGCCACGAGGTTTGCTTGAGATTTACATTTCCGAAAGGAACGAGGATTTCTTCTCCCGTTATATCCTCGATTTTCCGTTCTCTGCTTTCCGGCCTTTCTGGACGATGATATCGAGAATATCTCAAAATGTATCGTATTATTCTCGCATGTGAATCGATAAAAGATTGAACCGTACGCTCATTCTTAGTCATAGTTTTTAATACATATGTATAGAAATTTTCTAGCGCATCTACATCTGCATATATACTTGAATATAAAGTTTTTTTGTAACGTAATTTAAAACAAAAAATAATAAATATTGAAGTTTATACACTAAAAATAATAGTTTTTCATACGTTTCATTTGATAATAATATAATTTTTTCATACGTAGAAATAAACATTTTTATATATTCAACATCGATAGCTTTTTGATGTCAAAGGAAAATATATACAGGGTGGACCATTTTAATCTATAATGGAAAATATCTCGGAATGTTGGTGAGATACAACAAAATGTTTCAGACAAAAGTTGTATGGTTTCTAGGGGGACATAAGAAGGTACCATTGATTTGACCTTGAAGAGTTATTTGAAGGTAACATGAAGGTCACCTTCAATTTCTTAAATGGAACCTACATTTTCTCATTACATATTCTCGTAGCTTATCTCGAGAGCTTTCCAAAACACTATAATAAAATATTTTATTGAGTACTTTTCGAGTTATGAGGCTTGAAATCATTTCTTAATTTAACATAAACCGTAATATATCTAGTAAAATATTCATTTTTCGATTATCTTGCTTTAATACTTTTATGTACAAAATAATGAGAGGAATCAATTGGTGCAAAGAAAACACATAGTTATTTTTAAGAAAAAATATGTAATTTGCAATTAACAATTACATATTTTTTCTTTGAAACAACTATGTGTTTTTTTTACACCAATTGATTTCTCTCATTATTTTGTACATAAAAGTATTAAAGCAAGATAATCGAAAAATGAATATTTTACTAGATATATTACGGTTTATATTAAATTAAGAAATGATTTCAAGCCTCATAACTCGAAAAGTACTCAATAGAAAAATATTTTATTATAGTGTTTTGGAAAGCTCTCGAGATAAGCTATAAGAATATGTAATGAGAAAATGTAGGTTCCATTTAAGAAATTGAAGGTGACCTTCATGTTACCTTCAAATAACTCTTCAAGGTCAAACCAATGGTACCATCTTATATCTCCCTAGAAACCATACAACTTTTGTCTGAAACATTTTGTTGTATCTCACCAACATTCCGAGATATTTTCCATTATAGATTAAAATGGTCCACCCTGTATATAGATATATTGGAAATTTAAAAAAAAAAGGAATTTTGACTTATGGAATAAATAATAATAATTAAGTCGAATAAAAGCATTTAGTGAAAAATATAAGTCGAACTATTAGTCAGAATTAAAAATGATATTTAAAGTAAATAATTTGATTATATTTCTATTTGTCGGAGACAATGTAAAAACTAAAATATTATTTGACACATTTTTATTCTGAAATTTCGTTTATTTCTGTTTTATACAGGTTCATTTTGTTAGACAGATTATCTAAATGGAATTTTCAATGAAAGATAGATTGGATAAAGTGAACCAATTGTCATTCTGATATCACGAAGGAAAACGAATAGAAAGTCTGTTTCTCATTTGATTATCTATTCGTAAAATATACGAAATTCAAATAATGTACTCGCTCGCGATAAATTCGTCATCCAGTTCCGAAACGAGCTTCTTAATTAAATTGACAGACAAGGCCTGGTCGAGATTGACATACGCGAGACTAGAGAGGAATTTCTCCAACAGCGTTCTACGTCCACTCGGCAAAATCGCCTCCCTTTCTCTTCTTCCTAACAACTCGATAACGTGAACGTACAGGGTGTCTCAGATTTCTCGCATTTCTTCTCATTTACCGATTATTGAATTGACTTTTTCTTAGCACAGATGCTAAGATAATAACTTAAATTTTTATTTTATTTTTAGGATTCGATTAATTTAAGTTTAGAAAAATTGTCAGAAATCACACTTATATAGAAATGCAAAAAAATGTTAAAGTCAACTTGAAGTTTAAAATTAAAGAGCATTCAAATGATTTTAATTTGATTGAATAATTAATTTGATTTATTAAAAAAATAATGTTTAAGAAGATCATACTTAAAAGATTGATGAGAAAAACATTTAAACTTCGGCTTAAGGATGTATTGGAGATATATTACAATCAATGAGATCGCCGTGAATTTTTAATTTCAGATTCTTAATAACATTCTAAATTGTCATGAATTATTTCAAATTTTTTTACTTGCTTCTTCAAAAGTTATTAATTTTTGAATTTTGCGATTTTAACATAGAATTAAAAAACAATGATAAAAATTTCACTTTGTAATATTATATTCTTCATACATGTAAAAATGTTCTCACAAAGTTTTAAAACGATTTATTTGCTCGTTTTGAAATTATTATTAAAAAATAACTATGATTATCGGTTTGATGCAATATTGATGATAAACCGTGGCAACATTTTCTTGGAAATTAAGATCTGTTTATATTAAAGAATACTTTGAAGTATGATTTCGTGATTTTTAACAAATTTTTTATCAATTAGAATTCGTATTCTGCCCAATTTTAATTTTTTGATACTTTGGATTAACTTTTGAGAGAGACAGTCCGTCCAATACATCCCTAATAGATTTTACTATAAGGATTTGGTTAGTATTTTCTGATTAAATGTATAAATTTCTTGTTACATTAATTTCTTTGCGAGCCATTCTTAACTTAACTCGTGTTCAATATTTGCCATGAAATGTATATAAAGAACTAGTATTAACATTAAAAGTATATTTTTTTTTTACGAGCAGTAGCGCCAGAAAGAGGACGCTAGCTCTCTGATTGTGTGTGTTTGAGCTACATCCTCTTCTTGCATCACTGTTTATCAGTTTAATTTCTAACAAACTGAATTTAAAATAATTTATTCAATAATCTAGATTGAATTTATCCTATAATTTTGTTGTAATTTAGAATATTAAACAGACTTTTGAGATTAGATGGGAAAAATTTTAGACGACTTGGTGCTGGTGAGTTTAGTATTATTAACCAGAAAATTTGGTAAATTTAACAAGAAGAAATTAATCAGATTCATCTGGTAATTCCTACAAGAATTCTCCAATACATCCTTAAATTTAAGCATTGAAATAAGATGAAACTAAATTGAATTTTCTGATAACAAATTCCACTCCAGATTGGTCAAGGAAGAATATCAACAAAGACATCCTGTATATTCAGAATTTGTGAACTGGACATAAATTCACGGCTTGGTCTCGTTTTCAGCGAGAACAGAACGATGGAAATCTCGGCGGGTAAGGAGGTCCTCGTGATTGTCAGTACTCTCATCGTCGAGAGGGCCAGCCCGAGGCACGCCGGGAACTATAGCTGCATGGTGCCTGGCAAAGCCAAGACCACCGTCGCAGTCCACGTTCTCAACGGTGAGTATGTCCTTTACGTGCACATGTGTACCACATCTCGTTATACAGCTTTTCTCTCGCCCTCGTCCCGAGAGGAAGGATAATCTCGCCATCTGGCATGTCGATAGTTACTTATCAAAGCTGAACGAAGTTTCTCTCCATGGTCGGGAGACTTCGAATCATTATGCGCGATATGGATTAACTGGATTGAAAGTTGAATCGCGTCGTAACTGAATGCAATCCTCTTTCCATCTCGAGCCCAGTTTCTGCGATTTCCGCTCCGCGATCGGAGCGCGAACCTTATACGCACAAAACTGCATCTCCAAGCTCAAACGAGCGATTATGCGAAGCTCCATACGTCAAGTTTTGTCGGAAATTGAAGTTACTTTAGCTTTTAAGGGTGACTTTGACTATACGAGAGGAAAATATACATAATACATTCTCTGTATAACTCACGCTTAGGATTTAAATGGAAAATTGTAGAATGTACAGCTTTGTTAGAGAAATATATTTTGTTATTAAAATTTTTAAAAACTTAAATTATTTTCCAAGACAAAAATGACTTCACATTTATTTTTCTTCTATTTCATATATTTTGTTGCATGTTTTCTCTTATAATTAAGGATGTTTTGTATGTACAATCCCAGCAAAAAATAGCTGAAAATCAATATTGACGAATATATCCACTTTTGGTGTATTTTGAGTATGAGAAATTGTGTGGAATATTACAATTTGATTTTAGCTAGTTTTTAGCAGTTCAGAGATGTATTGTTTTAATATTTATTGGGTTTTTACTGAAATATTCCGAATTTTGTTAATCGAAATGATTAACTTTTGGCAAAGAATTTCTCCTTGTGACAGATACATGACTAACTTCATTGAATTATATTTAATATCTTTTAACCAGTTAATACTTGTATAATATTATTTTACCAAATATTTCTTCTGTCTCTAAACTTTTGCAAATTTTAAACAAATTCTGAATATTATTTCCATATGTTTTTGTCATTTGAATCGACGTGATTATACGTTTCCCATAAGAATACATGTTAATTCGGTGCAAATTAAAATCCTTATAACTTGTGAACGCCTTAGTGAATCGATTTAAAAATTGTACTAAAAATTTTACACATATGTAAGGACATTCTGTACAATTTTCATTGAATTCTCAATATTTTGAAAATAGGTACAAAACATCCTTAATTGAAGCCTCGATAAGAGAAATGACTCAAAGTACTTTCTCTTCAAATGTTTCTTAACAATCTTCAAGCGCGAACATTTTGCACAAATATCCTCTCGTTGCTTCATGCTTTTCACGGTGTCACAACGAAGACAGAGCAAGTTGCTCGGACGACCCTAGTAGTTACTTATCAAACTTGAATGGACTTGCTCGTCGCAAGAGTCGGCGGGAATACGAAACGAGGTATAAATCGCAGGGGATTCGCACGGTGATTATTCACAGTTGAGCTGCGCGTTTTTCGCTCGCCACCATGTGGATCCAGCTAACCGCGTGAAACATAAGCGCGCAACATTCAGAACGACCGCCTTTCTCTCTCCAATGTAGAATGTTAATGTCGCTGTAGCTCTTCATTATAGAGGGCCGTATGCAACTCTCCGCCGGCATTTCCGAAAATTTGCGAGGACACTTAATTTATTCTGCCCAACCGCGCTCGCGTATGATAGGGAAATATTGTGCGTTTTATCACGCGCAACGCCGTCAGGAAACGCCACAATTCTTTACTACCTAGCGACGAACTCGGCGAAATGGATCCGAATATTTTGTCATGCGTTTCGAAAAACGACGTAGCATAGGATTCTTGATTTATCATTATATGTAATATATCTTGCTTAATATTTTAAAAAATATTTTTTTCCAGATTTCGCAATCTATGTCGCAAACAAGAAATAAATGTGATTTCTTAATAAATCATTTTTTTCCTAACAATATATTTTTGATCTTCTTTAAATATTCTGTTAATCTGTATTAATAAGTAATTTTTTTCTAACAATATATTTTCGATCTTCTATAAACATTCTGTTAGTCTATATCAATTCTATCAAGAATTATTTGAAATGAGACTTTTATTAAGAAAAAAATATACATATATTTTATTATACAGGGCGTTTCAGACCACCCGTACATCCCTTTTAAAATGAAAATAAATGGCTTTTATAAAAACTTGCGAAAAATTTTTAAGTAAATCGGGTACGCTCTATCAAATGGTGATATTTTCAACTTTTGATTCCAATTGGAAATACGTCATCCGGATCGGAAGTTGAATTTTTTTAGGGGACATGGTATTTTTTATTACAGATTCGAATTGTACGTGAAAAAATAAGAAACTTTTGTATCAAATGTTTTTTCTGAAAGTTGTTCTGTCAATTTTAAAATTGATCATGAAGAGGGGTGTACTGGGGTGGTCTGGGACACCCTGTATATATCCCTGTATATATATATATATATATATATATATATATATATATATTATATACAGGGTGTCCTAAAAATCTTGGACCGGTCGAATATTTCATAAACTATTCACTTTAGAAAGAAATGTTTCAGACAAAAGTTGTATGGCTTGAAGGGGGCCATCAGATAGTGGCAATGGTTTGACATGGGAGAGTCATTTGAAAGTCACGTGAAGATCACCGTCAATTTCTTAAATAGAACTTTCTATTTCTTATTACATATTCGTGTAGTTTATTTCGAGAGCTTTCCAAAACACTATAATAAAATATTTCTTCATTGAGTACTTTTCGAGTTATGAGGCTTGAAATCATTTCTTAATTTTACGTAAAATATCTTGTAAAATATTTATTTTTCGATTATCTTACCTTAATACTTTTATGTACAAAATAATGAGAGGAATCAATTGATGTAAAGAAAACACATAGTTGTTTTTAAAAAATATGTAATTGTTAATTGCAAATTACATATTTTTTTCTTAAAAACAACTATGTTTTCTCTTTACACCAATTGATTCCTTTCATTATTTTGTACATAAAAGTATTAAAGTAAGATAATAGAAAAATGAATATTTTACAAGATATTTTACGGTTTATGTAAAATTAAGAAATGATTTCAACCTTCATAATTCGGAAAGTATGTAATGAAAACTAACTTAATTATAGTGTTTTGGAAAGTTCTCGACGTGACCTACCAGAATATTTAATAAAAAGTAGGGAGTTCCATTTAAGAAATTGACGGTGATCTTCACGTGACTTTCAAATGACTCTCCCATGTCAAATCATTGCCACTATCTAATGGCCCGCTTCAAGCCATACAACTTTCGTCTGAAACATTTCTTTCTAAATTGCATAGTTTATGAAATATTCGACCGGTCCGGGACTTTTGGGACACCATGTATATAACAAAGCAACACAGAAAGAAAGCGATGAAGGAAAAATCTCATTCTTTTCGATATTCAAGGAAAATCTTGAAGAACAAGAAAAACCACTCGCGTGAGTCCTATGGTGACATGTCATAAAATAGGCTGTTAATCGTAAATTTAGCGTCGTAGTCTAGTCTACGATATGTAATGCGATTGAGATGTAAGGGCTTTCTACGAAGAAATCCCTCGTAGAGCGGACACCTTTTCCAGTGAGCATCGGTAAGATGGGAAACTCCCCTTTATCCTATAATGCGCTTAGCAGATGTACCGAAAACTCGGAGGAAAAGAGGCCGTATTCTCTCTCTCTATACTCCTCCCCTCTCTATCTCCCTCCCTCTCCTACTCCTCTCCCTTCCCTTTCCCTCTCACTCTCCCTCCTCTCTCTCTCTCTCTTTCTCTCCTCCTTCGCGCGTAACATTATCCATTCAATAAATTGAGCTTAGCTTAAATAAGATATCATAATCGATCAGATCGATTGAAACAATTTCATTACCTAATCATGCGTGTGCTCTGACGTGTAGAAAAAATAAAGGAGATAGAATCTTAGTCCACTGAGTACGTTAAAGGCCATGTGGAATTTAAATTTCTGAAAGACGGATTGTCGAATGACTCTGAACAGGTATGATTTCCATCATTTAATAGGAAATTGTAATCGGTTAAGTTAATGAATCTTGATTGTACATAATAAAAATGCGCTTATAATAAAAAAAAGTATTTCATTTTACCAGAGATAAATATATAGATATATTTATTATCGATATAAAAGAATGATAAAGCTTTTGGACAGAATCCAATAATAGTATCTTGAAAATGTCTTATACAAAAAAAAGAAGAGTATCTTCTTATAGATTGTTCTACGGAGAGGATAGAAGAGCATTGATCCTTTTAAAGCTTTTAACCGTGATCGCTAAGAAAACCAAAAGCAGAGGAAACAAACAACGCGGACCTTACTACATTGATTAAATATAATACACGATAAATATTTACAATACTATAATATTTACAATATAGAAATGTTAATTCTTAAATATTTTATTAAAAAATGCAATCTTCACATAATATTTCTGATGAAAAATAAAGCTTTTAGTAGAAATAAAACTCAGAAACATTATTGTAAAAATGTGTGTTTTTGTGATGTAAGAAAATAGTATACGCCGTTGATGGAAACATTGGGAGAAAAACTGGAGAAGAATAAACATCTCACGGATCTTACACTTTTAGCTGTAAACATACAAATATATTTAGATAAAACAGTGTCTTAAAAAAAATCATTATTTTTTTATTCGTAATTGCGCGCAAATGCATTCACGATAAAATCTTTAAGATTAAAAAAAAAAAGAACCAATTCTCTTAATATACATGTATTAGCAAATCGAAAAACGTTTAGGATGTTTTGTATCTATTTTCAAAATATTGAGAATTTAATGAAAATTGTACAGTATGTCCTTACATATGTTTAGAATCTTTAGTACAATTTTTAAATCGTTTCACTAAAGTGTTCACAAGTTATAAGGATTTTAATTTGCACCGAATTAACATGTGTTTTTATGGGAAACGTATAACCACGTCGATTAAAATGACAAAAACACATGGAAATAATATTCAGAATTTGTTTAAAATTTGCAAAAG